AAAAAAAAGGAAAGAAAAGAAAGCCACACACAGCTGACAATTTGCTTTGCTTTGCTCATGTAGTCTATTTTTGTGGTTTGGTGAAGACCCATTACCCATATCTGAGACATTTAGCAGGACTTTTTTTTTTTTTTTTTTTTTTTTTGGCCATTTTCCCATTCAAGTGAGCCAGAGGCCAGAAAAGGAACTGACTTTCTAAGCTGGCCCCAATATATTCTGCTTTTGTACACAAGCATTAATTATTCCAGATGGGAAGGGAAAATTGGGGAGTATAATCATATTCTCACTTCCCTGTCATGACTAAGCTTGCAAAACATATCTTGCAGCTAAATAAAATTTACTTTTTCTATACAGCATAGATCTGCAGTACTTTGAAACTAATAAGTTTGAAAACAAATGGAAACTGTCAATCAGTAAGGATGACAAACAGACTTTAAAAAAGGAAACAGCCTATTGTTTTAGTTGGAAATTCTTAACTCTTTATCATGTCTGTTAGGTTTACAGACGTTTCATGAATGCAGCACAGTCCTTCAAAAAACAAATCTCTCAAACTCTGTCAGCTAAATCTTGACAATAACATTTAAATAGAATCACTATGGAGGATACCTTTTAATGTAAAAAAAGTATATACCTAACTTACTTTTTAAAGGGGCATTATTTTCCTATCGAATCAAAATAGGGACACCTTACACTTTAGTGAAAGAAGGACCTACAATATTAAGACCCCATTTAAAAAGACATTCTCAAAAGCTTATAGGAAAAATCTTCAGAAGATTAAACTGGCACATATACAATAGGATAGCTGGATAAATGCCTTCAATCACCCTAAAATAAAACCAGCTAAGAATAACAGGCAGAAATATATTTAGTCCATTAGATCATATTTAAAGTAGTCCTTTTCATTGGATTGCTTCTGCTGTCTTTTCTGAGAATGAGAAGGGTACAATGAATTCTTTCATTTGCAGACAGTTCCATACAATTGGAAAGCAACCCTAAACACTCTCCTCTCCTCAAACATTGATTTCTGTCATAAATTATTTCAAGTATTTTAAGGATTTTTCTTTCAACTTTTAGAGTACTCAATTAGGCTAAAGTGGTAATGGTCTTGTGCAATCTTATTATGATAACTTACAGAAAAGGCAGGAACCTTAAAAAGGTAATTCCCTCAAATAACTGTGAGCTTTTGTTTTATGATTAAAAATGGCAATATAAAGGCTAGTATATATTTTGAATAACTATTTTGTAGGCATCTATTTTGTTTTTAAGCCACTTGCATGTATCTTCTTCTCAACCATAATTTTCATACACACACAGACAGCAATATGACAATTCAAAAGTAGCTTAGCAACACAACAGTTCTGATAAGATCTGTTTTAAATAGTGTATTTTAAACATACTGAAAGAATAAATTGGTTAAACATATAATGAAAATATGAACACTATTAGAGATATTTCAGAAAAGACACACACAAAATAGATGCCCAAATTAACACTAGACTTACTTGAATCATTTAATCAGTAGGCTAATGCCATCCAAATCTTCTGACCGCCACTAGAGAGAAAATGTCACACAGTCCTATGAGCAGTGCACAGAGCCAAATTTACATTCCCAGAGGCAACTGTTAAGGGAAACAGCTGAGTCAAATCAGCAACCATGGATTTTAAGGAAAAGATGCACCTTGAACAATAAAGCAGTACACTGCTGTACCCATTTTAGAGTAAAGAATGTTGAGGTTTTCATTTTTAAGAGCATATGCATCCACTATATTTTGAAGGAATTTTATATGAGAGTACACTTTATCTTATATAAATCCACCATCGCAGTATATAAATGTGTTAGAATGACAGGAGAAAATTTTCACTATGATTAAGTCAGCTGAGGCACAATTGTTTGGATTTTTTTTTTTTCTGAAAGAACATATAGGTTTAAAAATCAGCAGGCATAAAATTGAATCCTGACAGTACCAGATACTAGTTATATTGACTTGGGATTAGACGTTAAACAACCACTCAATTTTTATTTTTCTTAGCTTTGTGGAGATATAAATCAACAAATAAAAATTCATGATGGACATATGTTGATATGCATATACATTGTGAAATGATTGCCTCAATCAAGGTCCTTAACACATCCATTGCTCTTTTTTTAATCAAAAAAAAAATGGAGAAAACTAAGTAAAAGAGTGAAAGTAAGAACTAAGCAAGGTGAACAGCGTACAACACTTGGCAGAGGCCTGGCAACTAGCAGGGCTTCAAACAACGCTTTCTATCTCATCACCCGCTTCCTCTGGCCTCCTTCCCACCCTGCGGTCTGGGCTTAGTTTCCCACAGGTGGCTCATCACCATAGGACAAAACACTGCAATCAACTGTTTTAGTCCTGTCTTTGTACCTGCTAAAGTGGTTACACGTTTACTGCTGAACTCTCATACCACAGAGCAGGCTCATAACTGATAGGAGCAGAATTAAATGGACACAGACAAAGACTATTATAAACATAATATTTTAAAAGTACTGAGAATGAGCAGAAAGGGAGGTCATTACATGCCTCGTTCATACCATGGGTAAGTAATGATCAATCGGGACTAAGAACATATGTGAAGAAAGCAAATGGTCCTAAGTTGGAACTTGGAATTCACCACTTCCTGGGCATGTGACTTGTTTACTACTTCAACCCTTGGCCACGGTGAGATCTTCCTTACAGAGTTGTTGTAAAGATGAAGAATGATAATATGAAGGATTTAGCAAAGAGACTGATGAATAGTTTAATAATTGCTATAATTATCATTGGCTATGAAGTAAAATTTTATTTAGGCAATTATATATAGGCAATATAGGCAATTAACAATATTGAAAATTATAGAAAGTTATGAAATGGAAGCCTCTTTTGTCCACCTATTCTATTCCTTACAAGTCACCAACATTAGGTGTATTCTAATCTTGCCCTAGCAACTTTATCATTTTCAATTTATACTGCATATACAGAGATGATAGGGCATATTAAATATATTGAGTCATATTCTGTGCAACTTGCTTTTCACAGGTGTATTGGAGGTATTCCCATATCACGAATAGAAATAACCCTTGTTCACTATTGTGAAATAGTCCATAGTAATGTGTTACCTTTTTAATGACCACTCTTGTATTTAATGGCCTTTTCTTTTTTTTAGTTGTTTGCTCTTACAAAAACTCTGCAAAATATTTTGTACACTAAGATTCACATGCCTATGCTAAGACACCAGTAAAAAGTGGAAGGAGAAATTTCTGAAACAAAAGTGTGTACTTTTTCTTTGCTAGGGAGAATTTCTATTCCCACTTGTATACTCTTGGGAATGCCTTATATACCAGTATATGCTAGAGTTTAAATTTCTGACAAGTATATCTGGGTTGCTTATTCAATTGACTGAAGCTTAGCTGCTTTTATAAAGTTTATTAGCCATTTTTATTTTTAAACTTTCATACCAATAGTGTTTATGTTTTCCCCATGAGTGGTTTTGTTCTTTCCTTATTAATTGGGAAGAATATAATCTCTGACATTTGATATATATATATTTTTTTGGCCAAGGCTGGGCTTGAACCCACCACCTCAGGCATGTGGGGTCAGCACCCTACCCCTTTGAGCTACAGGCACTGCCCCGATAAATTTTTTAAAATTTGACTATTTTTATTATGTTTAAGAAGTTTTTATTTTTTCTTCCATGATCTTTCAGTCATTTACTTTTAAAGGTAGTGTCATGCTTCACCGGGCTCTCTCTACTTTGAGAATATTAAAAATATTAATAATTAACTATCTTTTAGCATTTTCAGGGTTTTCAAAACCCTTTAAACAGTATTTTCAGATAAGTTGATTCATGGAATCTAACATGAAAAAAGAGGAAGACTAAGTTGAGAAACACAAATATTGCAACATATTTGAGAAGCAAATGACCCAAGCATTACCAGAGTTCTATAAGGGTGACCAGATGGCCTAATTCTGACCACAGCTTTATTAACAATAGGATTTGTGAATCAGGCGAGACTCAGTCATTCTCTTCCTGACGCCCTTTGCCTTTTCTTGTACACAGTTACCATTCAATAAAAAATAAATAAATAAATAAAAAGGATAAGCATATAGAGTCTACCTAAACCTTCAGGCTGAATATCCAATCAGATAGATTTAAAAATGTAAAGATTATTATATACACACACACTCTCACACACACCATACTATTATATATTTATATATATGGTGTTGGTAGTTTGCAGTAGTAGATAACATTTAAGTGATCTCTTTTTTACAGTTCAGCAAAGGAAAAGCATTTCATTTTTGTTGTAATTCTAGATCTTACAGCCAAGCCAAAACTCAAAAACAATGAACTTGATGATGAAACAATAACAGAGTTAACACATACTAGGCTTTCCTATCCATCAGGTGTTAGGTTAAGTATTTCACGTGTATTATTATCTCACAGCCCAATCCTGCCACCAGACTAGACTCGAGATGACTAGCTAGCACAAGGAACCTAGTGCCTGCTAGAACAAGGATTACAACTCAAGCACTTTGACTGAAGAGCCTGTACTCTTTCTGGGGGTGGGGTGGGGCAGGGGTAAATATGTGCTTCATCATAACCTTATTTTACATTTCTTTTCAAAATGTTTGTACAAATTGAATAAATTTTAAATGACCTTATATTACATGGAGAAGAAATTATATGTAAACCCAACAAACAATGAAGACATTCTGTAGGTAGAAATTAAGGGATGCTTAGATTAAATGAAACAAAATTTCATTCTAATGACGTGACAACTATCTCGTAACATGAGTTGCACATGTAAAACTAAGGCAACATTTGGTTTATCACTTTAATCCTTGGGCAGTACTAATCAGGGATGTTTGTACATCTAGGCATTCATGTACTTTTATAAGTGTATGTGTATATATCAGTGTATACAGAATATAAGAAAGTACATATTTTAGTTGCTAGCTTTTTCATTT